GTGACAGACCAGCTTTCAGAGCCATTATGTAGTTCTGCCATCAACTCTTTCCCTTCTCCATTGAGAACAGCATGTCCTAAATTCTTGTAGAGAATCTAAGTGACAAAAACACCAACAACCTGCCCCAAAAACTATGTTAATAGACACACAATAGATAAAAATGCAGTCTGTGACATGAGTAACAGTAAAGGGGGGAGTATACTCCTATAATCTCAGTAGAAGTAGAGTTTTTGTATACAATTGAAGTTATCAGTTCAAAATAGAATTGTTATAACTTTAAGATATTTTATGTAATCGCAATGATAACCACAAAGAATACATCTATGGAATGTACACAATAGAAATGAGAAGAGCATCAAGGTATGTCACCACAAAAGAATCAACACAACACTATAAAAGGTAGTAAGTATGAAAGAGAGAGACAAAAAACATCATAAGACAAAGAAGAGTAACAAATGACAATGAAAAATCTTTCCCTATTACACTAAAAGTGAAAGGATGGAAAATGATACTTCGTGCAAATGATAACCAAACAGAACAGGGGTGGCTAAAGTATTGATAAAATCAGAAAAAATAGACTTTCAGTCAAACACTGTTACAAGAGACAAAAATGATGTTATACAATAAAAAGTTCAATTAATTAGGAAGATACTGTAATTATAAATATGTTTGCACCAAACATCACCACTCCCAAATATATAAAGTAAATATTGACAGATCTAAAGGAAGAAATAGACAATTCTACAGTAATAATTGTATACTTCAAGTACCCCACTTTCCATAATGGATAAAACAACCAGACAAAAGAAAAAATACACAAGCTTGAACAACACAGGCAAGTGAATCTAACAGACATACACAACACTCCCACCAACAGAAAAACAGTGCATTCTTCTTAAGTGCACACAAAACATTTTCCAGGACAGGTGACATGTTAGGCCACAAAACAAATCCTGACAAATTTTTAAAAATTCAAGTCATAAAAAGTATCTTTTACAACCACAATGAATAGAAACTAGAAATCAACAATAGTAAAGGAAAACTAGAAAAACATGCAAATACATAGAAATTAAACAGGACACTCTTAAACAACCAATGGGTCAAAGAAGAAATCACAAAGAAACCAGAAAATATCTTGAGAACAATGAAAATGAAAAGACAACATATCAAAACTTATGGATACAGTGAAAGTAAAACAAAAGTAAAAGTTATCAACACCCACATTAAAAAAGAATGTTCTCAAAACAACAGTTTACCCCTCAAAGAACTAGAAAAAGAACAAACTCAATCCAAAGCTAGCAGAATGAAGAAAATATAAAAATTGGAGCAGAGATAAACAAAATTGAGAAAAATAGAAAAAATATTTAAAAATCAAAGAATTTAGAAGTTGGCATTTTAGAAATTCAACTAAATTGGCAAAAAACTTCAGCTAGATTAAGAAAAAAAGGGAGAACAGTCAAAATCAAAACTGAAAGAAGGTAATAGGGGAACTTAAGGGTTGAAGATTTTAGCAGTAGTTGATAAGTTAAGTGACTAATGCATGTAAAAAGCTGTTGTTCCAGGAACTGGAATGACTGACTCCAGGAGGTGACAAGCAATTCAACCTTAGTACCTCAGAGGGTCTACAAGCCATTTACTTGGTATCTGAGCCATTGTGTTCCAGGGAGGGAACACCTGAGATGCAGATAAGAAATGTTGATCAACAGATGAAGAAGTAATAGAAAAATCACTGCCAGACTGCAACTTTTATCCAATTAACCTTTTTCCCAAACCCCTTACCTACCCTTCTATCCAATTAATCTTTTCTTAAACCCCTTACCCACTCTTTCTCCTCCTTATAAAAAGGTCAGCTTGAAATGAGATGAGAGATGGTTTTTGAGGGTACATAACCAGCTCTCTTCTCAGACTGCCAGCATCTGAATAAAACACCCATAAAGATTCAATCCTTGTCTCTACTCATTGGTTCTGGTAGTGACAGGTAGCATGAATGCTGACTTTTCTGGTTTCAAAGGGACATTTCAACTAATGCCACAGATACGAAATTAATAAAAACAACTGATTACCAACAAATTGGATAGCCTAGAAGAATGGATAAATTCCTACAAACACACAACCTATCAAAACTAGATCATGGTGATTTATACCAAACATTTAAATAATTAACACCAACATTCCTCAAACTCTTCCAAAGAGTTAAAAAGGGGCAGTCCCAACCCCATTTACACTCCCAAGAGTTCAGCATTACCCAATTCCAAAGCCAGACATAGACACTACAAGAAAGGAAAACTACAGAAAAATATCCCCAAATGAAATTTGATGTAAAAATCCTTAAAGAAATACTAGCAAACCAAATTCAACATCACATTAAAAGGATCATACACCATGGCCAAATGGGACTTCTAACACCACATTAACAAAATAAAGGATAAAAACCACATGATTATCTCAACTGATTCAGAAAAAGCATTTGACAAAATCCAACACCTTTTCATGATAAAAACATCCAACAAACTAGGAATAGAAGGAAATTATCTTAACATAATAAAAGCCAAACATGGAAAGCCCACAGCTAACATCAAACGCAATAGGGAAAACTTGGAAAATCTTTCCTCTATCATCCAGAACAAGACAAGAATGCCCATTCTCACCACTTCTATTCAACACAGAATTCCTAGGAAGAGCAATTAGGTAAGGAAAAGAAATAAAAGGCATTCAAATTAGAAGGAAGAAATAAAATGATCTGTGTCCACATATAACATTATCTTAAATGTAGAAAACCCTAAAGATTTTTCATACACAAAAAATACATAATATATATAAAACCATTTTTAACAGTTCACAAATTTAGCAAAGTTGCAATACAAAATCAACACACAGAAATCAGCTGTGTTTCCATACACTAACAATGAATGATACAAAAAGGAAATTAAGAAAACAATCCCATTTACAATAATATCAAAAAGAATAAAATATCTAGAAATACATTTAACCAAAAAGGTGAAAGATCTGTATGTTGAAAACTACAAAACAATGCTGAAAGAAATTAAAGACATCCCATATTCAAAGACTGAAAAACCTAACATTGTTAAGATGTCAGTATTGCCCAAAATGCCAATCCTTATCAAAATCCCAATGGCATTTTTTTAGGCTAGAAAAATCTACCCTAAAAATCATGTGAAATCAAGGTGCCCTGAACAGTAAAAACAATCTTGGAAATGAAAAACAAAACTGGAGGTGTCACATGTCCCGATTTCAAAATATATTACTAAGCTACAATAATCAAAATAGTGTGATACTGGCACAGAGACAGACTTAGAAACCAATGGAACAGACATCCCAGACACAGTGCCTTGCATCTTCAGCAAAGGTGCCAACTCCACCCAACAGGAAAAGGGCAGTCTCTTCAGCAAATGTTGCTGGAAAAACTAGATATCCATATGGAAAAGAATGAGGTTGGATCCTTACCTTACACCATATTAAAAAGTTAACTAAAAATGAATTAAAAATCTAAGCATAAGACTCAAAAGTCTTATCTCCTAGAAGAAAACATAAGAGAAAATCTTCATGCCTAATTACTGAAGTAGGCAATAATTCTTGGATATGGATACCAAAAACACAGGTAACCAAACAAAAAAAAATAGACAAATGGTACTACATCAAATTTTAAAACTTCTGTGCTCAAAGGACACCTCAATAGAATGAAAAGACAATAATAGCAAATGGGAAAAAATATTTGTAAATTGAATATCTGATAAAGGGTTAAGATCTAATACACATAAAGAACTCCAGAACCCAACAACAAAAAAATAACCTGATTAAAAAAATGGGCCTGAAGATGAAGATGATATACAAATGGCCAACCAATATATGAAAAGATGCTTAAAACCACTAATAATGAGAGAAATGCAAATCACAACGATAATGAGGTATCACTTCCCACCCATTAAAATGGCTATTAAAAAATGGCTATTATTGCCCTGGCTGGTGTGGCTCAGTGGACTGAGTACTGGGTTGAGAACTGAAAGGTTTCCAGTTCAATTCCCAGTCAGGGCACATGTCTGGATTGCAGGCAAGGTCCCCAGTTACAGGCATGCAAGAGGCAACCGATCAATGTAGTATCTCTTGCACACTGATGTTTCTCTCTTTCTCGTCTCTCTAAAAACAAATAAATAAATCTTTATAAAAAATGGCTATTATTTTAAAAAAACAGAAAATAACAAATGTTTGCAAGGTTGTAGAGAAATCGGAACCCTTGTACACTATTAGTAGGAATATAAAATGGTGCATCCACTATGGAAAACTATATGGTATCTCCTAAAAAATTAAAAATGGAATTATCATATGATCCACCAGCCCCACTTTTGAGTATATATCCAAAAGAACTAAAAGCAGGGTCTTGAGCAGATAGATACTTGCACATTCACATTCATAGCAATATTACTCACAATAGCCCAGAGGCAGAAGCACTCCAACTGTCTACTGACAGATGAAGAGATAAACAAAATGTGGTACATCCATACAATGGAGTATTATTTGGGCCTGAAAAGGCAATTATGAGACATGCTGCAACATGGACTATTCTTGACAGCATTGTACTGACTGAACTATGCCAGTCACAAAAAGACAAATATTGTATGATTCCATTTATATGAGGTTCTATAAAGCAGTCAAACTCATGGAAACGAAAAGTAGAATGGTGGTTACCAGTGCTTGTGGAAAGGGAATGTGGGGTATTGTTACACAATGAGACTGAGTTTCAGTTTTGAAGATGAAATAGTTCTGGAGATCTTTTGCACAGCATTGAATATACTTTACTGAACTATAAACTTAAAAATGGTTAAGGCAGCAGTTTTTATGTGTGTTTACCATAAAATTTTTTAAAAATATGGTCAATTGAAAAACAAAATCAATTTTAGAATCAAGAATACACAAAGTTCTTTAACTTTACTCACAAAAAAACACAAAAATATAAAAAAACCTTTAACTATATGTAAACATACCCTCCACACACCAAGAACTCATTTGAAGCTCGTCTCCCAACAGTTCCTATTGGCATATCATCTAAAGGAGAAAGAGAAAAATATAGTCACTTTAGCTACACCATCTATTTAAACATAAATTGTTCTTACGTGATTATTAGTGTGGACAAGAAAGGGGCCACGTACTCAAACTGACAAGTTCAGGAGAGGCCTGCATGGTAGCCCAACAAACTCAAGAGACCTGAAGTAACTACATGGGATGGTCTGAAATGAAAATGTCTCAACTAAAAGCAAGTCATGGCAGGTAGTCAGGTCCTAGGCCAACATCTTCCCTGACAAAGGTCAGTCTTTACCTTACTTGGGCCTATCTATTGTCTTTTTGAATCTGTAACAGGCCTTTGGAAAGTCAGCATAATCCCCTTCCCAGACCCCTCAGGGTACAACCTCCCACCAGAGCAGAAGACCACAGGACCCCCCGTTGTTATCAGGTTCTCTCATGTACTATCTCTTTGTGCTAGAAATTGTCATTGTTAACTATACCCACCTATGTCTATCCATTTTATTTTTTTACACAATTCCAGAGGTTTCCCCACTTGGCTTTCTTCCACCTCCCTAGCGTATCACCAATGAATTTCATGTAACCCCCTTAGGCCTCCTCCTTTGATTGCCATGTATAAAGTAAGGAGCAATACTACCATTCTCAATCCATTGAGATGTTACTTCCCAGCTACTGTCATCAGTTTGGCTCAAATAAACTCCTAAAAATCTTCTATAGGTTTGAATGTCTCTAATGTTGATATTAGGAAACAATCTGAGGGCAACCATGTGCTGACCTGCAATTTCATCCATGAGGAACAACAGGTAGACACAGAACACTGTGCCCAACTGAACACACAGGATGCAGCCCTCCTAATGCCCACTTCTAAAGCAAACATCAGGTCTTTGAAGGTAATGTAGGTAAAGTGTCACATTCATTTCAGGATTTACATATTTCTTCACCATTTAACATGTGCAAAAAATGCTACTGTTTTATTGTGTTCCCTTTAATGCATTACTCACAAAGGCTTTGAGTATTGTACCCCCAATCCCAATTTGGCCATAAATTGTACATTTTTAGTGAATAATTTTGCAGGTTGTACTGATTTTTAGGAACACATGTCATATTCTAGCACAACTGACTGTAAACACAGTATAGTTCCCTCTGAGGCTGGAGCACTTCCTCCTGCTGCAGAACACTCCCTTGGGTCTTGCATGGGTTGTTGAGTAAGACGTCATGGCAGCTGAGGCCTCCAGACACAGCAGCACCTGCCACAGGTCATCTACTCCTCAGTTACCCACTTATGGGAACAGAGCACAGCTCAGAGGGCAGGGGTCCCTAATTCCTTGTTGCTGTCATATCCACTGTATCACATTGCTTGCGTGATTTTAAATGGCACTAAAGGTATAATATGTGTTGAGGTGAAATCACAGTGTGTTGAGCAAATAATATAAATTTTAAAAAATAAACTATTCTGCTAACCTATGTTCAAAACTGGATGAAAACAATCACAAATACCCCTCTGAGTGGCCCTAAATGGGCACTGAGAAGTATACCTATTTTGTACCTATTTTGAAGCTTATAGTCTAGTAATGAAAGGAGGTGATAATGTCAGGAGGTGGGGAGAGGGATGAGGAAAATAAATGAGAACCAGAGAGCAAGGGGCAGGAAGCAAGAAAGCCTCTATTCTATAGACCAGTTACCTACAGGGTGATAGAGGGAACTAGGTAGATGGGGCAGGGACAAAAGCTAGATTTCACTAACTGTACTTCATTTTGTAGGCTTTGAATTTGAAACTATACATAATTATGAAACAAAATTAAATTAAAAAAGAACAATCCCTAGAAATCAAAAGTAAAATGAAGCAAATATAGCACAGCCACCAAAATGAGTTATTTCAAGAGACTTTAAACTCAATCATTTAACAAGACATTCCTAATGAGATTATCCTAAGGACAAAAAGACCCACAAAATGTTTTAAATATTTTTTAGTAATCATATTGTTATTTTGGTATCATATTGTTGTTTTGAAACTACTGGGAGAGGACAGAAAAGAGCCTAAATTCACAAAGGCAAATGAACAGAAAAGTTAATAGCCACAAAAATTTGGAAGCTAAAAGGTTGTATTAAGTGGTATTTGACCTAGAAAACCCAAGAAGATATAATCCTTAGCCAGCAGAAGGAAAATTCAGAAGTACCAATTTATATACAGGAAAAGCCTAGATGTCTTTACTTGGGACAGAATAAAACACAGAGTTCTCTGACCTGCAGCACACCAGGCAGCGGCACATCATGAGAAATGGCTGGGGGAAACAGAGGCGGTAAGTGAAATTCTACACACTGTGCTACTAAGATCTCCAGCCTTCTTGCCCTGTTTGTCTCCCCCACATGCTATCAGGTACATATACTCTTCAGGCAGAAGACTGGCTGAGACTTCTCTGGGGGATCTGAGAAATCTCCCAAAAGGAAGCAGTCCAAGGCAATGACAGCCGTGTCACTCAGTATAGAACCTTGCTGTTCATAAGACCCACTATACACAGAGCCTTCAAACATTTTACTTGTCCGTTCTTGATTATAAGCATACAACAATTACCAAATATCCAAGGGAAGAATTACTATGAAAACCCACCTCCAAAACAAACTACCAAGGGAAAGAACTAACATTTTTTAAGGAAAAGTTAAGATATATATATATAGATATATAGATATATAGATATATAGATATATAGATATATATATAAAATTAATGACCTCAAAGATAAAACAAAATAGTGCACCATGAAGTAAAATAGTGCACTATTCAGAAGGAAAAAAGAGCTTATGAAAATTCAAAATATGAGAACATAAATGAAAAACTCAACAGAATAGTTAGAAGAAAACATTAAGGAAATTTCCCTACAAGTGCAGAGCAGTAACACAAAGAGCAAATCAGACAAAAAGAAAAAAAATAAGAAAATCAGAGAAGGGTATTGAGATATCTATTATCATTTTTAAATTGTATGGATGTTTTAAATATCTTATATGGATTCTTAAGAAGCTTAAGGAGCTCCTAGTCAGAAGTTTAAAAGTCACCATTCCACCCTAACAAGTAAAAAGCTGAACAGACTGAAAAATCAACAACTCTTCTTAGGTCCAAAAAGGACAGGAAGACACAAGCAAACCGAGCCCCCAAGATTGGAGAGACACATAGGTAGACACAGGGAGCTCTGGCTTGCCTGAGAAGAGATTCCAAGCAGAAACCTCCATGGAAATCAGAGCCAGGACATAAGAACCTGGCATTTCAAGATAGGAAATCAACAATTTGCTGGAGGCCTGGTGCAGACAAGTCTAAGAGTTACAAACTCCAGGAGGACCCAGTCAGAGTGGGGCTCATGGTATTGTCAGATATACCTCCAGGAGCTCAATCATATTCCCACAGTAAATATGAGAGAAAAATCCCTACCTGTTTCCAGCAGGGAGAGGGAAATGGAGACATTTTTAAATCAGTCCAAGCATTCTGATCTTAACAAGGCCAAACTATTAATCTGCTCAGGTTAAGTTCTGAGCCTAATTGACCTGAGGGAAGGGAAACACCCAACTCCAGCCCCTATAGCCATCCTGTCCCACCTAACTCAGGAGAAACTGGGAAACACTGTGAAATTTTAAGACCAGAGGCTCACTCAAAGACTGAGAGCAGTTCACAGGCCTACAGAGTGCTGCCCCTCCTTCACCCCTCCCCACTTCTTCTAAAGGCCTATTTAAAGCAGTTCCTTTCACCTGATGCAGCAGCATGTATAGGTATCAAGAAAAAATTACAAGGCATTCCAAAAAGCAAAATGCTTTGAAGAAACAGAAAAGCAAAACACTTTGAATAAACAGAGAAAGCATCAGAACCAGACATGGCAGGGATGTTAAAATTATCAGACCAGGAATTTAAAACAACTATTATTAACATACTAAGGGCTTTAATGGAAAAAGTAGACACCATGGACGAACAGATGGGCAATACAAGCAGAGAAATAGAAATCCTAAGAAAAAACTATAAAGGTGAAAGATAAAAACAAACAAAACTGCTAACAGAAATGAAGAATGCCTTTGATAAGCTTATTAGGAGACCGGACACAGCTGATGAAAGAATCTCTGAGCTAGACAATATATTAACAGAATCCTCATAAATCAAAAAAACAAAGAAAATAAAGTCTTTTAAAAAAGAACAGAACATCCAAGGTCTAAGAGACAACTACAAAAGGTGTAACATACGCGTAACGAGATTACCAAAAGGAAGAGAAAGAAAGCAACAGAAGCAAATATCTGAGACAATAAATAATGTCAGACTCGAGTCACAGATCCAAACGCTCAGAAAACACCAAGTGGATAAATGCCTCACGCAGCTACAGTCATGCATCACTTAACTATTCTGACAAACGCATCATTAGGCCATTTCTTCATTGCAGGATCATCACAGTCACAAAACCTAAATGATGTAGCCCACTACACACCTAGGCTATAGGGTATATCCTAATACTCTGCAGAAGACGAAAAGTAATTTTCCCTCTAGCCCTCTGGGTTCTTGGCTGGGACATCCCCATAATAAAAGACAGATCAACAAGAGGAAAACAAACTAAAGTTTAATAGCATGGATACTCCTGTATACACAGAAGAGACCCAGGAAAATTGAGTAACTCGCCAAAATCTCTGAAGCCACCACCTTAACTACCATCTTCCACTGAAGACAAAAGAAAATTGGGGTAAGGGGTAGTTATCAAAGGTTATCAGGAAAAGCAAAGTCAAAAACAGTAAGGTTGTTGTGCATATTTAAGTCCTTTGTCTTCTGCATTGTAAGAGTTTCTAGAGATAACGTCATCCCCCTTTTCCTAACACCCTAAAAATGGGCACCTCCTTTACAAAGGTAAATATCTTTTATAAAGGGTAACTTCTATTGGTTTGCAGAGCTTTTCCTATGTCTGCTATTTCTCAAAATTAACCAGCCTAAAACAACCCTTATGGTAAAGAGACATATTTGGGAGTGACAAGTTATGTTTCCCTACATCTCCTAAGAACAAATC